TCAAATGCTGCTTTGATGAGAATGCTGGTGGCATCTACAGCAGACAAAGATGTCATCGATGCAGTGAAGTTCTTTCAATGTCAGGTGTGCAAGCAGACAGAGAAAGATCAGCATCCGCGTGTGACAAAGGAGACAAGGCCATCTTCGCAGATGCACTTCAACTATGAGCTTTCGGCGGATGTCTTTGAGATCCATGACAGTGAGCATCACCGCCACTCCATCCTGTCTTTGGTGGACTTGGCCCACACACTTCCATGTGGCAGTTCGAGTTGCAGGAGGAGGAACACCCAGCTCGAAGGCATGTGCTGATGCCTTGAACGTCTCCTGGATTGCATGGGCTGGAGCACCCACCTTCTTTGTGGCAGATCAAGGAGTTCACAACAGAGGAAAAGTGGCACATCTCCTTACCGTGATGGGCACTACCATCCGGCAGACTGGAGCTCGAGCACCTCATCAACTTGGAGTTGGAGAACGTCATGGAGGATTGCTCAAGGAGATCATGAAACGTGCCATCCATGAAAGACAGATCAAAGGAGCTGAAGACATTGCAGCTCTGTGCTCAGAATCGGCAAGAGTGAAGAATCTCTTCATCAACCAGCACGGCTACTCACCGTCTCAATGGGTGATGGGCTATCAACCTCAGGACATCACTTCACTGAACAACAACGACTTGGAGCAGAGTCTTGGCCTACACCAGAGCTTGCTGGATGCCGAAGAGGGAGCACAAGATTCCTTTGCAAAGCAACTGCTGATTCGTCAATGGGCAAAGGAAGCTTTCATCAAGCTTGACACCTCTCAAAGAGTGCGCAAAGCCATGCTCCGGAAGAGCATTCCTATGAGGGGCCCATACCGCTGTGGAGATTTGGTTTCTTTCAGCAAGAAAGGCAAATGGTATGGACCTGCCAGAGTTCTCGCTCATGAAGGAAAATCTTCACTCTGGCTGTTGCACTCAGGTGTCGCCATTTTGGTGGCAGAGACCTCATGCAGCCCCGGCAACTACAGCAGAAGTCTTGAAGCGACATGCTCTTGAACTGCGGCCTGAGAGGAAAAGGAAGAGACAGACCCTCACCGACTGGCAAGAAGATGATGAACTACCTTTTGCGGACGACTACATCGAGGACAACAACTTCCGCGGAGGGCCAGGAGGATCGAGTGAGCAAGTCCCATCCGTGGACTTCCAAGAGGTGAATGCAGGACAAGGCGAGACGGGAGTGACTGCTATCCCCGGAGATGCTGAAATGAATGAAGGAACAACTTCATCGACGTTTCCATCGTTGCCTCAACATGTTGAACAACCTCACCAAGCACCTCTCCAGAGTCCACCTGGACTCGAGATGGCAACTTCTATGGAAGATGGTGTTGAGACACCAGTTGAAACAATGACTAGGGTTTCAACAATGAGCAGTCAACCGGAAGCAGAGATTACTCCGGCACCAAGCATCTCTACTCATCCAACATCAGGTGCAGCACCTTCTAACATCATCAACGAGCAGGTGACGCCTCTGACACAGTCCCTGCGACAGAGCCCTGATCGTTTGGATGGAATTTTCCGTCGACGTGAGCCTTCAGCCTCCGACAGCTTTCTTGCCAACAAGACCGAGCGCAAGTACAAGAAGAAGACGCAAAAGGTCGGAGCAGGCCGTGAGCTGAACTTTTCCAAAGAGACTCCCGAGATGCAAAAGAAGCTTTTGGCCACTCGGGAGAAAGAATGGCACAACTGGAAGTTCTACGGCGATGGCAAGCTGGTCTCAGAAGAGGAAGTGGTGCACATGACCTCTCAGAACCCGGAGTTGAAGATCATTCCAACTCGATGGGTGGATGTCAACAAGAGCGAGATTGGAGAAGAAGAGAAGCTGAAGTCAAGACTGGTGGTGCGAGGTGACCTTGAGGATAGCAGCTTGATGCGCTGCGACTCGCCCACGTGCAGCCAGACCATGATCTCATTGGTGCTCACCTTGGCAGCTTGTCGAGACACCACCTTGTGGTCTGGTGACATCTCCGCTGCCTTTCTGCAGGGCAGCAAGTTGGATCGTGTTTTGATTTTGAGTCTTCCCAAAGATGGAGTTCCAGGAGTTGCACCCAACATGTACTACATCGTTTCCTCCACCGTCTATGGCACGAAGGATGCACCTCGTGGTTGGTGGAAGAACCTGGACAGCACTTTGAAGAAGAAAGGATTCCATTCAGTTCCCTATGAGCCAGGAGCCTACACTTTGTTGGATGGGCAATCTGGACTGGCAGGTCTGTTGGTCACTCACGTTGACGACCTGCTATGGACTGGAGGACAGGTCATTGAAGACCTGATGAAAGATGTGTGCAGCCACTACAACTTCGGCAAGGTTGAGAAAGATGAGTTTCGCTACTGCGGTCGCAACATCTCCACGACTGCTGAGCACATCCTCGTCAAGTGCGACAACTTGATTGACCGTGTGCGGCCAATTTGGCTGACCCATGAGCAGAAGCGTCATGAAGCTCAACCAGTACCTGAAGCAGTTCGAGGGCAGCTCAGGAGCATCATCGGCAGCTTGGCATGGTTGGCTCGTGTTTGCAGGCCAGATTTGGCCTATGCAGTGTGCCGCATGCAGATGAGCGTGCGCTCGGCCACCTTTGGTGATGTGAAGTATGCCAACTCCATTGTGGCATTGGCCCAGAGGACCAAGAGCTTTGGCCTGAACTATCCCATCAAGGCCTTTGAGTTTGAGAAGGCGATGATCCTGGCAATTCAAGATGCCAGTCATGCAGCTGACTTTGAAGCTAGCTCGTCAGGAGCAAAGATGGGACACAGAAGTCAAAGCGGCCGACTCCTTTGCCTCGCGAGCCCTGACTTCCACAAGTCCAAGAAAGGACAGCTGGCGCTGATCGAGTGGCACTCAACGGTGCTGAAGAGGGTTTGCAGATCGACACTGCAAGCTGAAGCCTTAAGCCTCCTAGCTGGAAGCGAAGAAGCCGACCACTTGAGGTTCGTGCTATATGGACTTCTACACCCTCATTGCACTGTCCCTCGATGGCAAGTTCGTGCGATGGACTCAGTGCTGGTGGAGTGGGTGACGGACTGCAGGTCGCTCCACGACCATGGAAACCAGGCTGGCCTCCACATTGTCAGCGACAAGAGATTGGCCATCGACATGTGCGGCTTGCGCCAAAGCCTTTGGAGACTTCCGGAAGAGGAAGTTGGAGATCCTTCGGCCACTGACCGGCTTCCAGAGGCCGGAACGACGAAGCTCACCTGGACCTCGACCGACAAGATGCTCGCGGACCCTTTGACAAAAGGGATGAAGCACGACGGCCTAAAGAGGCTGATGGATGGCTTTGAAGTCGACATGTCACCGACTCTGGATGGATTGAGGGCCAAGAAAGAATATGGGTGTGAAATGGAACATGTTGACCTGGCAGAATCCTCACTCCATGCGGTTGCCCCTTCAATCCGTCCAGCAGGTTTGACTGTCACACAGGCATGAACGATCGCCTGTGGCTCAAGATGCAGGCTCAAAAGGACGCGCAGCTTTTGAGACCTTTTCACGTGTGGGTGTCACGACTTTTCATAATACAGTTTATAGGGAAGCTGAACACATTGACTTTGGAGGATTTTTGGAGGAGAACTTTTGATGAGGATTATTGCGGACCATTTCTGAGATGCTTCAAGACTTGTGGACATGTTCATTGGAGCTCTGACACGAAAGGATGGAGTCGATCCGTAAGACTGCGAACCCTATCAATTTGTTGTGTCTGAAAGGTAGAATTCTGTGTCTGAAAGAGATGGCCCCCCCCATTCAGTGCACAGAATTCTGCCTCGCTCCTAATCACTGTCGGCCGCACGGCTCCCCGATGGGTCGCATGAAATGGCAACGCCACGACCGCCATCCTTCGCAGGACGCCGCAGTGGCAGATGCCACTGGCATTGACATTAGCCCAGAGATGTTGTCCAAAGCCATGCGCTCCGGCTTCTATTCTTGCTGCAAGGCAAAATGAGATGTCACGAGGTGAAGGAAGTGGAGTCAGGATGGGTGACCCATTAAGTAGGATGAAGATGATGAAGATGGGTGAAGAAGTTGACTATAGGCCATTTGAACACGCTCAAGGCAACTCAAGAAGCACGCTCCGCCCGGTATACCATGTATGGATTCAACTATGGATTTAACTATGGTTGACTATGGACTTAACTATGCTTAACCATGCACTTTGCTCTTTAACTCAAGCCGTATGGAGCCAGGTCTAGCGTCGCTGTAGCAATGCTCCGCCAAAACATTGTGCCATGGACGCCAATCCTTGAAGCACCTGTGGGCATCAAAGACATGGGGAGCTGGAAAGCGGTGGTGTACACGCAGGAGCAGCAGCAGCGCTTGGGAGTAGGAGAATTTGGCCAGAGGTTGCTTGCGGCAAGTGGCAGACCTCCCACCGTGGCACCGCAAGCACCACATGTCCCGAATGTGCCACAGCCAGTGGTGGAAGATATGGGGACGTGGAAGATCAGCCACTTTGGATACACTTCTGAACAGGAAGACCGTCTCGGAAGTGACCATCACTGCTCGAAGTGCCATGGTTTGCCAGTGTCCCCTCCTACAATGAACGGCTCCTTTGGGAAAGCGGTGTTGAATTCTCCTGCTTTGCTCAAAGGTTTGTGCCAGAGGTACTTTCGGAGCTATGACATGAATCGCAACAATAGCCTGGAGCTCGATGAGCTTCATACTCTTTGCGATGATTTGCACATAGGCCTGGGCATGAGCATGAGTCTCTTCACCCCAGAGGCCCTCAAGGCCTCAGTGGCCCGATTCAGTGGTGGCGACAAACTCAGTGCAGGAGAGTTCCATCTCTGGTTCGCCGAGGCGCTAAAGGAAAGCATTGAGGCGCACCAAAGACTTGAGGAGCAGGCAGCGGTCGTCTTACCTTTCACAGTGAGATCAGAAGATAAGCTAGCAAGCATCAAGGCTCCTCTCGATGTTAGCATGCAAGATGTCATAGAGGCGGTTGCAGCAGTGTTGGAATTACCATCAGCAAACACATGTTTGCTGCATGGAGACAAACAGCTCCCTTCCGGTGAAACTCCTCTTGCAGAAGTTGGTCTCAGCGAGCAGAGCGAGCTTACCGCAATCGTGGTTGGCCAATAGAGATCTTGGGTCAGGCTCTGCTGGAAGTGACCAGCGTGCCTCCAAGGGAAACAAAGAGAGGTGAATCTATTCAATGTACAGAATCCGAGGTTGACATTTCTCAGGCAGACTTGGTTTTTGAAGTACTTAGATCACGCCTGCTTTGCATATCCTGCAAGCCTTAAGAACTTGCACCAATTCGTTTCGCCGTCGACGATGGTTACCCTCCAAGGCGACCGCTCGGACATGCAGAGACGCGCAGATATGCGCAGAGCGAAAAACGCACTTTGCTCATCTTTGCTCTTGAATTCAATCACCGGATCTCACATTGATTTACTTGGAATGGACTGAGATGTCCCTTTGTAGGGTGGGTGTTGGCAATAGCTTTTGTGTGTCTGAGGTGGTGTCTTTTCTGCTTGAAACCATCACATTCCATTTCCCCGGGGCCAAACAATCTTCACCCCTAGTTTGTCACCATAGTTCAAACCATCATCAACCATCAATTAACTATCAACTAACCACCATTATATGGGCATCATTAACCATATTGTGTCTCTATCTCTTGGAATAGTTAATGCGGGTTCTCAGCTCAATCAAGCCTTTTTTGGGATGCTGAGGCAAATCCACAGACCAGGCGGCTTACGTGCCGCCTGGTTTGGTGAATCGGGTGATCGTGTTTCTTTTCCCCTACAGTCATTTACAATGCACTAGCATCTGGCGTTCCCGGGAGCCGGTCGTCCGACGATGGGGGTTCGTGGTGATGTGGAGGTGGTCGACCTCAAGAAGCGCTTCGAGGGCTTGGAGGACGAGGCCTTTGACCTCACACTCTGCCTCGGGACCTTGACCTACATGTCCCCCGCCGCTCGGCCGGAGGTTTCACGCCGCCGGTGTGGTCTTCTTTTTCGATCAGGTGTTGTTGGTGGTGTTTTCACAGAGACGGGTGGGTGGCGGATCAACATGGGATGAACATGTTGTGGGGCAGGATGGTGGTACTTTTCCGGTCTGGAGTGTTCGGCGCAAGGAAAATCCTGTTGCTCTTTTTTTGCCCGGATGCGACGGAAAGCACGGTCTTCTTTGCGCGTGGAAACGCAAAGGAAGACATGACGCTGACGGAGCTCTGCCGCGTCACCAAGAAGGGTGGCTACGTGGTGTTCAGCATGAGGACCTGGGTTGACGCATGGTTTCTGGTTTCTGCCATGTTCTGCCAGAAAGACTCTGAGTTTTTGGACTCCGAACTTGTAACATGAGACCTAATTTGTTGAGTTTCTATTGCACTCGCCAGCTGGTCAATGCACCTGCTGGTTTCTGGAAGAACAACTCCTTCACTGAGAGTGTTCCGGCCTCCAGAGGACCGACCTCTGTGAGAAGTGGGAGGCTGCTCAGGCGGCCCTCGAGCAGAAAGGCGTGTGGACTCATTTGGGGACCAGCGAAGGCTTCGACTATTTGCCCGTGCCTTGGATGGTGGACTGGGAAACACGTAGTGAATTCGGTCCATCAACTCCGATCGTCACAGCGACAGAGGAACCGAGTGACTCGGGCCGTAATGCTCGCCATGCATGTAACCCCGTGAACCCAACGGCGCCGTGGTTGTTTGAGGCGAACCCGGAGTACGGGAACACTATCTTGGTGAAGGTCTACGTCTACCAAGTCGCATGACCAGTCCCTGAATCTGGCACGATTCCTTTTTCGACCGATGAACGACCAGGACCCACCGTGACCTCGGCGCCTTGCAGCTTTAACCACGACCACAGATTCCGCGTCGCCTTTTGCAGTTCCACCCCTGCGGCTTGCGCGGTTGGGCGGAGTTGATGCACGGAAACCTGCGTGTGAAAAAGAACCAAGCAGACAGTGAAGGCATTGGAGGGTGGGTCTTTGGGAGGTTGAGCAGGTTTCACAAGACAGATAAAGATCGTGTGTTGAACATCATCTCTTTATGGATACTTCTTGCTTGGCCAGGGAGCCAGCCCAGCAGCTGACCCAGCAGCTCCAGCGTCGGGTCTCGGTCCGCTGGCCGTCTCGAACGACAGGTGCAGATGCGCAGCCAGCTGAAGAAGCTCACGGAAGAGGCGCCGAGAATCGCTTTGATGACTTTTATTCCTTATCGCTTTGAAGTGATGGCCCATGCTGAAGCAGTTACTTGTACATGGCAGAACGAAGCACCTGAGAAAGAACCGCGAGTTGGGGCTTCAACGGAGTTGGAGATGGACCCTTCATGAGGTTGCTGGGAACGCTGGTTCTGATGTGGCCAGATGTGGCCCATCAGGTCTGTCAGTCTTTCCCCTCCTTCCAATCGTTGCACGTGAAACGGACAGGTTGTTTCGTTGTGAAACGGCATGTGATGGGCGTTCGAGTGATGCCCCAGTGGATCTTTTTTTCGCCACATCCATAGTACACTCTCTGAAATCATCCGATAGCATGGCCCTGAAAGGATGACCATGAAATCCGAATACCAAATAGGTGGTTTTCACTCCACTTCATTTCAGGGGAGTGTCAGATCGTTTTTTGTGCCTGAGGTGCAAAGCAAGTCTATGAGCTCCGCTCTTGGATGTGGCACACAGAGTTGTTTCTTTGGACAACCCCCAAGTGAGCGTCACACGCTTGTACCAGGTGGGGGATAGGCTTCCCCTGCCGTGGGAGATTTGGTCTTGCTGTGGGGGAACCCTTCAGAATTGCTCGCATTTTGCAGCGTTTCCACCACGGAACACTGCCACTGATGTTCTGGGACATGGGACTTTTGGCAGGAACATCGACAAGCTGGTTTGGCATGGGTGATTATATACATTTTTTTCCCTGTGGGTGAATCCCTTTCCGCTATGTTTGTTCCCGTTCCTTAAGCAATTCCAAGATTACAGTAATATATCATCGTCCATTTGCTACAACCTCCAAGAGTACTGTACGGGAAGAGATCCATCCTTCTCGAGCGAAGGCGCTCGGTCACCTGGGTCAGTGTCTTTGAGGATCTTGGAACCTTTCAATAGCCAATTGCCCACCGTAGTCAGTTGTCAGTTCTCTCTGAAGCTGGCTGGCTTAACAGACTCCTGATTGGATGATCCAAGGTGGATAGACTTCCTTCATCTTCCTTCTGTGAACATCTCATCCCTCCTTGGGGCCAAAGGATTCGTCCAGCAGCTCAAAAGCGCCGATTTCTTTGACAAAGATGTGGAACACATGGATGCTGGAACGAGCCATGATGTTCGTCCTTAGCAGCTCCAGATCTTGTCCACAAGAACATCATCGACGCAGTCCAGTCGGACTCCTCGACGCAGATCCCTTCGAGCCTTCGAGTGACGGACTCTTCCCCATGCGGCGGGGATGGCGTGCATGGGCCAGCGGCGGGCAAGCCGGCAGGCATCAGAGTCGCTAGAGATGTATATACCAGCAGTCACAAAGAGGTGCTTAATGGAGGTTAGGTTAGGGGTGCCCATTTTCCACTCACTTGGGGACTAAACACAACCCCTTTGTGACTGCTGGTAGATGAGCTGCTTTTGGTCTTCCAGATGTTTGATTCATTTTCCTTTGGAGATTCAGAAGAGTATGGAAGAGATAAGTCTTACGGACTCCTTTTTCTGATTTTTGAGTGCTTCTGCTTTACAAAGTTTACGATATGATGAGTCTCTCCCTAACAAGACCTCTTCACTTGCATCCAGGGTGCACTTGCTCACCGGCAAGAGGAAGATGGGTGCCCTGCCCAGTTGTTTCACTGGAAAGGTTGGTGGGAAGACGAGGAAGCAAGGCTTTCGTGTCAATTTCCATCTATCCTAGTTTTTCAAGACCATTAAACACATGGTTGAGCTAGTTTTGTAGTCCAATCCTCAGTAAAGCAATGGTTGTTCGGAAAGAGCCATTAAAACAATGGTGGGCATTCGGAATCTCAGGGTCTACATCGACAAGCGACACATGATGTTCTGACCATTTCCCACGCCTTGAAGGATGGGTTTCTTTTCGTGTGAAGTCGACGGGCAGCTTTTCGGGTTGGAGGAAGGTGCCAGGTGCCATCGTGCGTTGGCTGAAGACGTCCCTTACACACATGGACGTCCCACTCGTTGAGTTGCTGATTCAAACCTTGGTCGGGAGAGATTTCCATTCGATGAGCCAGCTCAGTCCCACAATTCGCAACGATTTGGAGTTCTGGAGGGTTTCAATCAAGTGCCACGTCCTCGAGGTTCTCTGGGCTTCGAGACTGAGGCTCCGTTGCGTGGGCCGCCTGCCGCAGCAAGTGACCTTGCAGGGCAATCGCTCTGTCCTGAGAGCAGCGGAAGGACATTTGGAGATCTTCCAACCTGGAGGCTGCGATGGTGTCCGGCTGGGGGAGGATATTTTCGAAATGAATGGTGGACATCGCGTCGATATGATGATAGATCGACAGATTTTCTATGATTTTCTGCCTGCAACGCAACAGCTTGAAAGCCACCCTTGTTTCTACGGGAGGTTGGCTCACAACTGATGCCTGGGTCCCTACGGATGCAGAGGTGTCCTATATTGAGGCTTGGTTGATTCGGATGCGAGGGCTTGGAGTCTGAATTGACGAATGAACACCATCTCGTGACCTTCCCGCAGGAGAGAGACTTGATGAAGATTGCATGTCCTGTACTTGGGGCAAGGATGCTACTAGGGGCTCCTGGCCTTACTACTAGGAGCAAGTAGCTACTAGGGGCTCCTGGCATCGCCACGAACGGAGCGATCGAACGCTACGAACGGGGCATTCCACCGGAGTGGACCGAACGGACCGACGCCCGACCTGAGACCCACTGGTCAGGATGGGATGCCCAGGATGGTGGTCTCCAAATTGGAGGCAGCTCCCCAGAGGCAGCAAGTTCATGAAACATTTTGGGAGTTCTTTTCCATGAGAGTTGATGTTCGTCTACCCGACCCGGCGGTCTACCGTGATGCTGAGGAGACCGAGTACAGCTTTCGATGGATCACCAAGCTCGGGGGCGAGGCAGAGACCGAAGGGGTTGAATCTTGGTTGCTGGTGAGCCACTTTTGGGAATGAACAAGGTCATTTCGGAATCAGAATCTTTGAGACTGGTCCCTGCAAGTTGTTCCAAGAATGATGTATGACATTGTATGACAGTATGACAGACACCAGTCCCTCGAAGATCTCACCAAAAACGGCACCCGGCACCCGCTTCGAGGAGGGACATTTTCTCGAAGATGAGAAGGTTCCATCCGATTCCATCCCCTGTGAAAACGCCTCACCAGGCACGCTGCAGCTGCTCCACTGCTGGAAAGCCCCTGGCCCCCCGGAAGCTGCGCACGCTGCGGCGGCGGCCGAAGGGTTTGACGGTGCAGGTGGGAGGAGGGCAGGGGCGACAGGGGGTTGGAGGGGTTTTCGAGGGCGAGGTGGAGGTGTATGCCCGCGACTTCTGACAATTAATATCAATTAATTATATATTTATATATCATCATATAACCCCCAACCAGAATGGTTATATACATCAACGATCAACATTTCCGCATCTTAGAATCACCACCTCTCGTCCTGTGGAAAGGTGGAGGCCAGTCACGAGTCCGACGGCTTGCCGCTGCTGGCGTGTGAGTTGCAGTGGTGCCAGTTCTCTTGGACCTCCTGGAGTTCAAAGCTGGTCACTGCTGAGGCTCGAAGGAAGGAAAGGAAGGGCACCTCCGAATGGCCCAATTTTTAAGTCCCAAGAAGGCCTAAGGCCTGCGATTTTCAGGGTTTCAAGGGTTCGACAGACCGGAGAAGCGAAGCAAGAAACCAAGGCTCAGTACAAGGGGCTTTGTGGAAGTGGACGACTTTTCAGCGAACCACAGGAGTAAACCCGGCCTCCACCTTTTGGAGGCCTTGGACGTGCAGAAAGCTGGTTAGGAAGTCTTCTCTCCCCCTCATTCCAGCAGGGCTTCCAGCACCTCTTCTTCATTCCCCTTCTAACCTCTAACCAATACTCAGAAGAGGAAACACCTCCAGGGACCGGCTTCACGGCCCCGTCGGCGCATCCGTCGCGACCGTGCAGGACGCTGGAAGCGTCGCCGTGTCTCGGCCGAGGTGAATGGGGTGATGTTGGGTGAGGGGGGGCGAGTGCTCGGACCATCCACTCAGTAAAACACCATAAAGCAGAAGAACTATGAAGAACTCATTGTTTGAAGCTGGAACACAGCCCTTGCTCTTGTGGACATTGGAGGGGCTGACTTGTCTCTTGAGAAACAGTGAAGTTTCTACCTCAAGGCAGTTATTAGAACGTGAGGGATCGGGGCACACGTTGGATGGAGCCAACCCGAGCCTCTCAAAAGTGGAGGAGCCACCGAAGCTGGTCGTGTGGAATTGGGCATGCGGAAAGTTGTGGGCAGCTTTTGGATGACTAGGAAAGCCACTTGCTGCACGCTCAATAGCTGGCCGGTAGGTCGGTGCTTAAGTTGATAGAACAGCGAAACACCTCGAATGCCTGAAACAAATTCATCTACCATGAACATGAAGGTCATGAATCTCACACGATTCTCGTCCCACGCGGAGATCTCCAAGTGCCTAACTTGAGTCGCCTGCCTGGCTTCATGGGGGTCCTACTGTGGAAGCCCAGCTCAGTTGCTCCAAGGTGTGGGAGATCTTCTTAGAGAACCTCTCACTCTGCAGCGACTACCAGCTGCGGGCACGCTTCTGCAATGCTGTGGGCTGGTCGCAGGACCAGATGGTGGTCGTTTCGTGCGGCCATTCGTGGATGGGCTGCGAGCAGAGTGCTGTTGGTGAACTTGCCAAGGGTTTGCCCAACTGAAACCACTAGTCTTGGGTAGCCTTCTTGGATGCTGCTGCTGGGCTTCACGGGTGGCTGACCTCACCGAACTTGAACAACTGCCCCCCACCCCATCCAACCCCCTCTCCAGGGCGCACCCTACACCCCATCGCACCCTCCATCATCCCCACTTCTCGAGGACTTCACCGAGGGCTCGGGGCGAACCTCGGACATTGCTTCAGCCCCATGGGATCTGAAGCTGGTGGCCAGGCGGGACGGGCGTCCCGCCCCACCCCGCGGGACGGGCGCTGCGGTCCCCTCGCCCGGGGGATGCCGTGCGAGTCATGTGGAGGCCATAGGAGGCCAGGGGCTGATTGAGTGTGCCAGGAAAGAAAGTTGTGAAGGGAAGTCGAAGCATTGACCGCTTCCAAAAGCATCAGAGCTTGGAAGTGATGATACATCTAAGTTACACTCCCTGAAAGCATCACGGAGGTGGAACATAGGCCGCCCCCTAATGATCCTAATGAAATCTCATGAATATAATGGCCACTGGAAGACCATTGTTATCCACAAACAGTTCAGTTTCACTCCACTTCCATTTTCCTCGGTCTTCCTCGGATTTTTTTGATCGCCTAAGGGCGATATCACAAGCATCATTTAGAACTCAATTGACCCCTTTTGTTGGACCAGACCTGATTTTGAGATGATGGGTCCAGAGATCTGAACAGCCAACCGAATGGTGGACCGAACGGACCCTCGTTCGTCATACGGTTCCGGCGATCGCTCTGGTCCGGTTTGGAGGACTATAGTATACTATAGTAAGCTACGAACGTGAACAACGTGTATCGCTACCAGCGGAAAGGAGACGTGAAAAAGGAGACCAGTGAGAAAGGAGACCAGTGAACAACGTGAACGAACGTGAACGAACGTGAACAACGTGTATCGCTACTGGTCCAGACGTCTCGGACCCTTCGGCAACCACCGACGGCCGAAGGACCGTCCGGTGCCGGTGCGCTCGTGGCTCCAGGCGGCCGAAGCAGGTGATCTTCGAGTGTCAGGTGAAGGACCCGGAAGGTCCGTGGAAACGCGCGGAAAGAGCACCTGGGGCGGTGGACGGCGCAGTGTTTGCCGACCTTTTTGGTAGGTGGAAATAGGTGCGAAGGGACTGCCAATAATGACAACCAATCTAGGGCCTGTCCTAATTTCTAGGGTCTGTCCTATTACCTGTAACAGTCAGTAAACAATTATCATAATTTTTTGTACAAGGCCTTTACTAACCATCATCATCCACTGTTACAGGTAATAGGATAGACCCAAGATATTTCAATATTTTATCTATTATATACTTTGTTTTTTTTTTTACCTGTCCTTATTTGGGACCACTAATCATCCAAAACAGAGTCTTTTCTATCAAAACAGGACACAAAAAGGGGGTCAATTGGGTTCTAGGCACATAATGGATCTTTTTGATGTCCTTTTTTTGTATCCCTCTGAATCTGCTGAAAGTCCAACCTCGCACCTTGGAGTTTTGTGCTTTTCTGCCAGGGGCGCCCATCACGGACCTGGAAGTGCAACTCTGTGGCAAGGTGCGAAGAAGAACCCGAGTGTGTCAAGTGGAGGTATGGTCCTCATCACTGTGGTCCGGCTTTGTGTTCGTCTGAGTCACATGGATGGCGAAACAGGCTGTCTGAGACACAGAAGAACGGACCTGTGGATAGAAGACAGCCTCGTCCAACTCGTGCGCGTAGGAAGTTCCAACCTTGCGAAGCTGCTGGAAACAAGACACCAATCCGGTCAGCATCCACCACCAGTTGGCTGAAACCCATTGAAAACCCAGGGGAAGATCAGGGGAAACTGCTGACAGAGCAACACAGGATAACGTTGATATTAAAAGCTTAGATGCTTTTGTCATCCTAACGCGACCACCACTGGGCTACCACAAACATCATTGTCCTTCTGTTTGAATAGAAATCTTTGGTACCTCTGACATCGCGTGCTTTAGGTGGCTTTCGCGTGCTTAAGGCCCATGCAAAGCACGCACTCCTAGCACATCCCGACTCACCAATACAACACCTTCTGGACAAATCCCATAGGACGCTCCCCTAGCACGACTGGCCACTCGTCGGTTTTTTTGGGTCCCAAAAACATGCCCTTGCACAGCGCTCGCTGTACGTCACTTCAACACGAAGTCCTGGGAACTTCAACACGACCATCTTCTCAGTTGACTGCTCCTACTGCCTTCGCTCTTCGCCACTGCCGTCCTGGGTGTGGCGAACGGACACCTCCTCTCCAGGTCACCTGGGGCGCTGCGACGCCGCCTCGGTGTTCCGCCTCGGTGCCCAGCTGGGACTGGGACGAGCTTGGTGGAGGGCCCAGCCGCAGCGTCCAGGCGGACGGGGCGGACCGTGGCGCGGAGCGAAGGGAGGTTCTTCCGTGGTTTCTTCTGGTGGTTCCAAGAAGAAACGGGTTCTGAGCTTTGGGTTTTAAAAGATTGATCTGTTCCAATTCAGTGGTTGCTTGGATCTTCTTCCGCTGGACGCCAGGTCACGGTGAGCAACTTGCCGGCGGACGTCACCAGTGAGGTGAGGGTGTGGTCCCAAAACCTCGTGGGGAGGCGCGGCGGACCATCTTCCGTTGGGAGGCAGGGTACGCCTCGAATTCGGGGTCTTGGCAAGGTCTCACATTAGTCACTTCATGTCACTTCATATCACATCCACACCATTTCACTCCCATTTTGCCCCCAACAACACGGTTTTCATGCTCAGGTCGCCCCAAATCGCCACAGCGTGCTATGCCAGGTCGCGGGTGCCATCGTCCACCTTGCTATGCCAGCCCTCCTCAAGGCCAGAGGAAGTGAAGGACTTGCACTGCCGCCTGGCGAAACGGAGCTGGGCGGACGTAGACGCTGGAGAGTCGAGGAAGGAGAAGCCCAGTTCTACCGATCAATTTGCTGGGTTAGAAGCGGGTTTGGGTTGATAGATGTTTATAATAATGTATAATTTATAATATAGATGCTGTAAGTTGTAAGATGTCGCGGGTTTTGTGGCATCCAAAAGAAGGGCGGTCTCAAAGATCACGTGCGCCGGGGTGAACACCGGGGTGAACACCGGGGTGAACACCGGGGTGAACACGAAAGCACAATGGATAAGCCGGATAAGCATTTCTCTTTACGCATTGGTTGTTCGGCTTCACTTTTCTTCATTATTTCGACCTTCAGACTGGTGGCTTTGGAAGGACCCCCACCAAACCGGCTGTTAGCTCGCTGCTCACACCAACGACCATCACCGGTCTGAGGCTCTCGGAGGGCCTTGGAGTTCATCGAGCTGCAATGGCGCACACAGGATCCGGCCGCTTGAACTCTGATGAAAAGGATCTACCATGATTGGCCCAGTGGCGTGGGTGCTTAGGATGAGGTCGACCTACCATGATTGTAAGATTGTAAAGAGTTTTAGTATTGACCCAGCCATATGATAGAGTAGTTGGGTATAGCCATCCATATGACTAGAGAGTCTATCAGACTCTCTCATATGTTTTCAGTTTTAATCATGATAGAGTCTGATAGAGAGTCTATAATAGTATCATCCAACTTGGTAGCCTTCGAATGTACCTCCACCATTCACTTCGCGCACTTCGCCGAGCCTTTGCGTGCCCCATTGGTCTTCCAAGGAAGGTGCCCCCATCCTCGAGTGCACGGTCGAGTTCTGGTGTGAGAGCTCCATTTGGGCGACCGTACAGCAGGCGGGGTCAGGTTACTCAGCTGGAGCGAGGTCGATCTGCTTTTGGGGTGCAGAACACCAGAGGAGTCAAGCCCGGTTCTTTTCTTGCGAAAGACGACGAACCAACGTTGTTGGGGGGCTTTTTCGATCCAGCCGTCTCCCCAGTCTCGGTTCAGCCGAGTTTTCGGTTCGCAGAAAATGACTCGGGCTGACTCAGACATGAGCCGCCTGCCAGGCGCCTGTCTCCAGAACAGATGAGCACAGCCACAGCTCCTGGTCCTTGGGCCTTCGAACAAGTGGTGGACGATGACATGAAAGACAGCGCTTTTTGTAGGATGCAGCTTCCCATCCTTAATCATAATCTCTCAGGTGCTGAGACAAATGTGTGACAAGTTGCACTTGGGTGTATTGACCCATAAAATCCGCTCTTGTCATAGGTTGCAGCTCAGGACAGCCACGCTTTGTGGTTTGGCAATGGAAACTGCATATGTGGCTTGGCTAAGCCTTGCAGTGCACAAAAGCTTGGCCATCCTGTGAATGTGTCTCAAATGAGCAAATGCAGGGATCACGAGACCAGGTCAAGAGAAGCACAGACGAAAACCCACATATATAATGTAGATGTGTGAGAGCAGAAGTTCCACAGGGCCGGGTTGTTTCGTCCCATCCAGTGAGTGGATATATGGGACACTCCTACCCTCCACTCGGGCCCCTGACATGGATTTCTCTCGGGCTCAGAAGACTCGAGTGGACGGGAGCGAAACCGGGCGAAACCGACGGGAGCGAAAGGCTTTCTTTTCTTCGGAAGCAGGCGATGTCGGTGTCACAAGGATCAGGCCAGTAGCTTATGTTAATGAATGCTCACTCTTGTTGTTGGAAAAGAACTGGGCAATCCAAGTGTGAAGGCTCAAAAGGGTCGAGCATGTCTGATATTGTCTGACACAGATACACTTGGAGCAATTCTCATTGAGATGCATCAGTGATCAGTGTGTCAATGTTTGTTCCAGTTTTCACCTTCGTTGATCCATGCAGAGCCCATCCTTAGGGGGAAAAAGACATTGCAACCTTGGTCTCCGCATTGTGCCACCCATCAAAAGCACAGCACACCGTGATGGGTGGCACCAGAAGGTGGCACCATCAGTTGGGCATGGGTCAAAACCACCCCAAAGCCATACACCCGGGAAGATCAACATGGAACCTGAAAATGAACCATTGGAAGACTTTTTATTGCTCTGCCTACAACTCAGTGGTTTTCAGGTTCCATGTGAATCTTCCAGGGCAATATCCCTTGTAGTCCATTCAATTGGGGTCTCCTGTTGCCGACCTCCTTCGGTGCGTCGCCACGTGCGTCCCAGGTGGTGCGGCTTCGAAGCTCGAATGAGGTCGGCACCAAGGAGGACATCGCCAGCTTCCGTGGCCCAACATGGAACCTAGAAAGTTTCCTTTTTTGGGGTGGGGGCACCATGGGAAGTGAAGGCTTCGTCCACAAGACCCTGAGAAAGCAAACATCTCAAGTTGGGTGTTGGACATCAAGATCTGTGTTCTGGATCAACATGAAACGAAGAGTTCAGGTAAAATCTGTAAGTTCCAAATGAAAAACAGATCTCGATGAATCGATTTCATAAGTCCTGATGAGTTCATGGCCCATTCAGATTAGTTGATACTCCCAACACTGGGGCAGATCCCCATCCACCATCTATGATCCCAAAAGCCCACACATCCACGCCTCCACTGGGGCAGATTCATGATTTGTGGGCTTTGTTGGCACTTGCAATGTTGGGAGATCTGCTGATCTGCCTTGTTTGTTGCCCCAGCAGACCACGGGAATTGTTGTGCACGCCGTCGTTTCTTTTGTTTTTGATGGGGGTTTGCTCAGTAGATACCCAGCTGCCTCACCAGCACAACTTGCAACTTGGATCCTGAAGTAGATTGAAGAGAGACTCCGCTTTAGACATAGTCTACTTCCATCTGGCAAGCTCCTTGTCCTCAGGTACGGCGCAACGGCCAGTCGCACCCAAGACCCTTACTTGTGGCTTGGAAAGGAGAACAATCTAACCTGAGGGGCTGTTGACCCTGGAAATCCTTCAATCCAGAGGTGTGCAGTTTTCCCTGCTGACACAGATGAGTTGGAGATCTTGTGTGCTTTTGATCCACACCCTTGGCAGAACCATGTTGGATGCGCCAACATGAGCCAAACACCCGCCAAGCGGACGCCAACACACCGATGAGCACCTGTCGGTACTGGTGGAAGAAGCTCCCAAGCGGCTCTCGAACATTCAGGCGGGGATATCACGGCCACGACGATCCAGCTGCGCTTTGAGTTGAGTCAGCCTCTCAGTGGTGTTTCTTTTGACTGTTGGGCTGTTGGGAAGGGCTCAAGGCGCGACACAGGGATGAAGCTCTCCTTGCATGTCGGGTTTCCCCCCCAAGTCCGCTGGATGGATTTCCACTCAGCTGCGGGGGCCGAGGTTACGATCCCGGGCAGCTTTGCTGCGTGGTGGGGCTCAGCAAGCTGCTGCTGGAAGAGGCCGGACGTCTAGTGCTACCTTGGATGGTTGAAATGAAAGAACCCCCCAAACACGGTGGGTTGACATCTGAGGTAGTCACCAGCTAGTCCATTCTGTTCATGTTGATTGGTGAGTCAACCAGGGATTGGGGACTTTGATCCACAAGTATAAGTTACTATTTTCCTTTCTAGCGCTACTGTTTCTTTGAGACATATCCTATGGTTTTTCATTGCTCCCATCTTGAAACCCTGGTTTGGTATCTCAAGCTTTGTGATTCTGCAACTCCATGTCCATGGTATCTTGCCTTCCGATCTTCCGGATCGAGGCCACAAGTCACCATGAAGCTGACATCCACCAGGCACCACCCGGTCACACCTTTCCTTGGGGTCACTGGTCATCCACACCAAGGCGGGCACCTTGTCCTGGGCTGCAGTGGTGGAGGAGAAGGTGAAGATCCTGCAGGCTGGGACCTGACGGCTAGACCCTGGCGAATCGAAAGGGATCAGACCCGAATCTTGGGGCCGAATCTGGGGTCAAAGGTCATATTGTATAATAGGACCCAAGATGACCCCTATCTATAAACCTATGGTTTATAAACCTGTTATAGGGGCCCCTATAAAACCTATTGTATAATATAGTCCTTCGGTTTTGAGAGAACAAGGCCTGTTTGGCGTGTCTGGGCAGACCAATCATACCAGCACCTTCCGTTCAAGGTCACCTTGGCTGAAGGGCCCCAGCCCACTACTTGTTGATCTCCAGCCAAGACACCCCCGACAGGAAGGCCCAGGCAGTTCTAACCACCCAGTTTCCGAAAACTTTCTTTTGTTCTGTTCAACTTCATGAGGGTCCTCCGAACACCAAAATGTGACCCTCATGACTTATTAGTTTCTTTTTCTCTCCTACCGGTATTTTCTTCCATTCAGGCAAGGTAAGGTTTTTGACTTTGAGCGAGACATACCTATTAGACCAAGCACCTGAAAAGGGGACACCAACTTCTGACGAGCTGTCTCTGGTATTGACAGCATCCATTTGACATCCTTTCTTTGGCTTTTGGTTTAGCCCTCCTTGATTTTGTAGTTCTCTCCTTAGCACAGGAATGAACGGAGTGCAACCATGAACCTAAAAAGGAACCATATGAATATGATCATAGAATCACGCGCAAAAAACAATATTACATATAATATCAAATTATATGCACACATATTTTCAATCGTAACAACATTTTATATCTGTCGATCAACCATCCGTGGCTGGACAAGTCAGAACCTGTCTCTCACAGGCCTTGGTGAAGGGCGATCGCCTCCACGCTTTGGTGGAGGCTCGAGGTCCTCGACATCGGCCTTCGCCGTGTTCGAGAGTAGCACACCTGAGACTTTGTCTTTTTTGGATACGTTTTCATTTGTCTTTTCAACAAATTCCAAGAAGGAATCAAGAAGGGTCTAGTCCAGGAGCATGCGGGGCACCTGCCACAGGTCCAAGGACTTCAGAGCGACTGCGGGTATCGCTTCCGCCTGTGGCCAGAGATGCTCGACGGGAAGCGGAATTGCTTTACTTTTTTCAGGTACCTTTATGGACGACACAGTATATCAAAGATGTTTTCTTGTATATAAGGCAAGACTCATGATACTCATGATGTTCGGGTGCCTTCTGGTGAAAAGGACCTAGATCTAACCAGCTGAGCTGGAACTCAAAAGGATTCTCTAGGTATAGAATGTGTTTCCAGCTTCAGCCGCTCAATGGGAGTTGCAGCATCCTAAGGAACCCGGTCGGCAGAAGCTTTCAACCTTCTGGGGTGTGGCTTGGTCAGAAACACATCGAAGGAATGCATCCCCTCAAGAGCAAGGCGCGCACATGCATAGCAGAAGAAGAGGAGAAGAAGAAGGATAACAAGAAGAAGAGGAGAAGAATAAGAAGAAGAAAAGGAAGAAGAATAAGAAGAAGAAGAAGAAGAAGAAGAGGAAGACGAAGACGAGGAGGAGGAGGAGGAGGAGGAGGAGGAGGAAGAGGAAGAGAAGATTAAGAAGAAGAAGAAGAGGAGGAAGAAGAGAAGATTAAGAAGCAGAATATTGAGAAGATTACCCATTAGTCTTTGTTACTTGTAACATGGCTTCAAATGATGCACATATTGCTCAATAAAACATGGAAGATTTGCACCCAAGCACCCTTCCAATACCGCAAGAGGCCTTGTTTTTGCTGTTTGCCCCCACGCGAGTCGACGACCAGTGTCAACTGTGTGTACTGTGCGCCCCGCTGCGGGCCCTGTGGCCCTCTCTTGACTGAGTTTCATTCGAAGCTGCATGGGTTTAACAGTCACAGCCGGAGCTGAAAGAAGAGTTGTCCACCTCTACAGATCTGGAGAACCTGAAGCTGGTGCCAGGGTCTTGAACTGCCTCATGAGGATTTGGGGACAAGACATTCATGAACACTCTTGAACACTTATTCGCATGCCGACGACATGCATGGAAATTCCATGCATGAACATGCAAGTCACCCGGCTGCCTCCATTCCAAAAGATCAGCCGTTGGATGTACTTGGCATTTTGGGAACCAACATGGTGTGTTGATAGCACCAACTACCAACATCCAGGTGACTTCTTGGGGTGGTGTTACGTGACAACCCACCAGTCACTAGACCACTCTTCTCCGCCCAGTCCTCTCAGGCTTGATTGCCGCACGAGTCACAAGCCCGAGCGGCCCCGTGAGCTTCGGGTGGAGCCCAAGGGCCCTTACCATGTGAGGCATGCGGCATGTGGCATGGCATGCGGCATGCACAGGGCAGCATGGCAAATGACTCCTTACTTTTGAAAGAAAAACCGTATGGCACTATGCCTCCCATGATCTGCAACAAAAAGAGTGGGGGCAGGAAGATAGATAGACTTTTCCACGCTTCAAGCGCTTCGAAAGCATCAGGCTCTACTGGGAAGTCCCTGACCCTGCTGGCGCGCCAGTATACGGTGCGGTGGTGGAGGTGTCTGTGCAGTGGCTTGGTGTGTGAACTGCCTTTGTCGCAAACGAACCATGCTGAATGGATTCCCAGATGAGTGTGTATTAATATAGGACCTCCAAGCTCGACCTCCTGGAAGAAGGACAATAGACTCAAAACTCAAAACCCACCCACACGCATCCATTGGTCGGGTGTTTTCCTATTTACAAAAAATATGATATCTGATATATACATAATATATATATCTACATAATATACTGTAATATAATTGCAAACGCAGTGGTAGCTGGAACCTGGGGTTTCTGCGGTCACTTTTGACCATTGCGTGCTCGGCTTGAGCCAATGTTTATGGCGTCAGCTTTTGACCAAGGTGGTCTTCTCGAAATGCACCGACCACATGTTCTGTTGGTCAAAAGGTGCTAAAAATCATAAAAACCTCGTGGCCACCTCCTCGCTCTGCGAGCTTGCGCTGTAGCGCGGCCCCTTCTTCCAAGATGCTCCATTTTCCGGAGGACATCACTTCTCTAAGAAAGTCACCTCTGGTGTCTTTCGTGAGAGAGTCAGCTAGCATAGTTCGCCCATCCACCCACCGAACTCGGCCGTTCATCTCGTGAACTTCCTGCTTGATGAGTGAGATGTCGATGGACGTGCGTTTGTCCTCACATTGTGATGCCGGGTTGGTGTCCTTGTTGATGGTGTCAAATAATGACTTGGAGTCTGTCACGCAGATGAAGGGGAGTCGCGCCACCTCGGTTTGCCACTGACGAGCTGAAAGGGTCAATCCCTTGGCTTCAAGGATCAGGACCCTATACCAGTGAACTGAACCTAGACCTCGAACCAAGGCCTGGGTCTCGGAGCTGAGCGTGTTGACCGTCCGTCTTTTTAGTCGATAGCTTTTCCAAGCTGCCAGGGTGACATTCTGCAAGGATTGAGACTCTGGTAGGTCTCGGTCATAGAAGAAAGTGATCTCTCCCCCTTGGCTGTACAACTTCAGGAGTTGCTCGCAGCCCCCATGGATCATCTTTGCTTCTAGATGATGTCCTTGTGGTTGTTTCTTAAAGGTTGTCGACCCCGTCCACGATGAAGGTGCCAATGAGGTTATACTTGATGAAGATGTCCACTCGTCCTGGAGGACGTTCTTGTTGTCATTGAGCTGGATCTCCGTGTATCGATCAGGTAGTAGGTCATGAAGATCCGGTCCACCTGGCGCAGCTGCCGGGTGAAATCCCGTGACTCTAGGAATTTGGTGGTGTCGTATCCATCGGTCAGGTAACTCCTCCCACCAGTCTGTCTTGGAGTCCTCGAGGTATTGTCCAAATTCTCTGGCATTTCCCCAAGCTGCATCTGTGACGACTCCGGCGTGAAGTCGTTCAAGAGGTATTGGCATCACTCGGATACCCAGTTGGGAATTGTCCAAAGCTTCCTTGGCGATGACGTTGGCCATGAGAATGTCCCGGATCAAAGGTCTCGGGAATGATTGTTGCACCAGTGCTATCTTTCCTGCAAGGTCAGCTCTCGTCTCCTTGGCTACCCAGGCCAAAGTGCCCAGTAGTGCTCGGAGTTGTTCAATCTCCACCAAGGTACATTGGGAGTACTTTCTGCGTTTTCGTTCTTTGGTGATGGGCACTTCTTGTACTCTTGCCTTGACGTAGAACTCCTGGTCGATCCTGATAGAACCGTCGGGAAGAGGTGTGAAGTCCTTGCCGACGAATCTTCCTTGTCCCCAGGTGTATTTCCCCAGGGTATACCTCTTCCGGAGGGTTTCCATCCGTTCCATATGTCGTTGAGTTCCTCCATGAAGTAGATCATCTGTAGCCAGAGCAACGATGCCCTCGATGGAGTTCAGGTCCTCTTCCTCGTGGTTCTCCACAATGTTCTCCTGGTCCAGGAAGAAGAGACATGGGTCAACAATGGATTGACGATATCCCAGTTCCTTGGTGAGGTACTTCACGATATGCTTGAACCAGGCGGATGGACCATCGGTGAGCCCATAGCAGGTCTTCTTCAATTTGATCAACTGATTGGGTTCCACCCCAGGAATTCCTTCTCGTGGTAGTTCTGCGTAGAGTTCTCTGTTGATGGCATCCCCACTATGGAAAGCCTGGGTGAAGTCTGCATATCCTGGTTGCCACCCTTTTGATGCCAGGATCTGTGTGGCGAACACGACCGAGTCCCGATGAACTTGTGGGGTACTGGTCTCCAGGCTGAGAAGGTCTGGTTCACTGAACCCCATCATGACATGTCGACATTTTGCTTTTGTTGGGCCCTCACTGACATTGGAGTCTAGGATGATGTCGGACGACTTGGCATCCTCCAGGGCGAAGTCCTCGATGGGCTTGCACGTGAAGACATAGCGGGACTTCATGATCTTGTCGGGTTTATTTCTTCGGACCTGAGCAGATTCGGTTGGTGACAAGATCTCATAGGCCCCAGTCCCAAGGTTGTTGTTGATCTCTTTGTGAATTGCTTGTTTGAATCTCTCCAGGTCCTTGCCCGTGAAGTCTTTTAGGGAGCATTCCCGATTTTTGCCCGGTCGGGTGTTTCCACGAGGTCCAAGTTGAAGGTGTAGAGCTTCGAGAAGTTCTAACCGGGATTTCTTCATTGGTGGGATGTTCTCCCAGCGGTCTTCGGTGTGTTCACTACCTGGTCGTTTCTCGGCCTCATCACGTGGCAAAGTCTGGGAAGGAGCCAGTGACGGGGTATAGGTGGTCAGCCCTGCCGAGGCATCGCTGGGTAGTCCGACTTGATGAGGAAGGAGTCCAGGAGGTGGTTCCATGATTGCTTCTTCATCTTCTGGAACGATTGGAATGTCCGCTTCAGGCATGTCGTTTGGTGAAGGATTTGATTCAGCTGGCGTCTCTTCCGTCGGTTGGTTAATCTTTTCCTCCTTGATCTCATTGCCCTCTGAATCCATAGTTGCCTTTTGTCGCACTCGTCGGAGCGGAGGTGATAGCCTGTCTGGTCTCTTGACCCCCTGAGCTGGTAGTACTTCTTGAAGTCGAAACCAGGTCTTCCCAGTCCATGACTCCACTGGCGGTGATCTGGCCAAGTCAGACGAATCCTGCCACGTAGTTTCTTCGACCTGGACGCTTCTGTCAGGGAGTATCATTTCGTGGCGGCACCAGTCATCGAGGTCCTCGATGTTGAAAGGCAGTGGCTGTCCGGACGGATCTGCTGGATGGAAATAGGTGGATCTTGGACTCTCATGTACTCGAATCCAATAGCTCCCCAGCTTAGTCCAGTAGTCATTGTTACTTTCCGAATCCTCCGGTGGAGTGTCCTGTTCTTTCTTCAAATCGATCATGCCCTTGACCTGGTCAGTCTCGAATTGTTTCTTCGCGTGTCCGATCCCTTCAAGCCATCCGGAGAGAGACAAATGTTCTTCTTCTGATGCAGGACGAAGCTTCTCCGGCGCGGCCTTGATGAGGTAGTGGTTGTAGGATAGCCACACTGTGGTAGGCAATTGAACTGCGATAACACGGGCTGGTCCATGCCAAAAGGCATTAGCTGATCTTCGAGCAGGATCTGTACCTCGTCTCCAGAAGAAAACTGCCTGGCCGGGTTGGTAGTCGTAGTGAGGTCGAGGTCCATGTGTGGCTGCAGCGCGGACTGCTTGCCGGCAATCAATTTCATGAAATGCTTTCGAGGCACTCTCACGGATGTCCATGGCTTGTTGAATGCCTAAGTCTCCGGCTGCACAGCGACTTTGGACTGCCAGGTCGTCACTTCCCTCAGACATGAGTCCTCCTGGGATTCGCTGTTGGTATCCGAAGACCCGCTGAGCTGGTGAGAAGCCACCCCGACTCAATAGTCTGTTTTTGGTGTGACAAGTAATGTCAATGACTTCTTTCCAGGTGTCCCAGTCCTTGCATGAGATTTGCTCCATGACTTTGTAGGCCATTTCCTTGAAGAGTTGTCCCTGTCTCTCCACGAAATCCCTCTGTTCTGGGGTTTCCAAAGAAGAGGGTAGTAGTTCGGCGCCGTCGGCCTCTGCATAGTCTTCAAATTGTTTTTGGAATTCTCTCCCAAGGTCACAGAGCAGTTTGCGAGGCGGGCCGGTAGTTCTTCTGTGTCATGGAGGTGTACAGCTTGGTCTTGAGCTGGCAGTGGCATTGTGGGGCTGATCGGAGATCCAGTCCCTGGGGGATCTGCCACATGTTGGCTTCCGGTCCCGTGGGGATTGCTGCGGTTACCTTGCTCCACTCGGTCGGTGTGTCGGTGTCGGTGGACTGGGACGCCTCCGTCATCGGAGATGGATATCGACCTCGTGCCTCCTGGAGGCTTCGTTCCTGCAGCTTCTCCCCCAAGTGGTTGACGATCTCGTCCAACTCCTCCACCTCTAGGAGGTCGGCGGACTGGATGATCTGTCGAGACCTCATGCCCCGTGGTCCTGGAATGCGGATCTGGGAGAGAGCTTGATGCCGAAGCGCTTGGGTGATCATAACGAAGAGACGTAGTACCATCCGGTACCACGCTCGAATCATCGAGATGCTCTCCTCTGCCTCGGTGCGGTTCCTCTTGGGGCGGCTCTGCATGTTCACTCACCGGACGAACTGAGTGGGACGACCGAGCATTCTCTGTTGAGCCAGCTGAATGCTCCGTTCGTAGTAGCTCATACTCGACATGTTTGCTGTCCTGTTTCCCTGCCAACCGCCGAATTTGATCTTCTGAAAAATCTTGTAAAAAGACTCTCAATGCACCCGTCGGACCCAAGTGACTTCTGGCTGAAAACCCAGTTTCTCTGATCTCAACAGGAGTCCAAACGTGGGGTCTAAATGTAGTTGAATGCCACAATGTAGGAGGAAGGGCAAGCTGATCAAAAAGGGTGCACTACGACATGTTTCATCTTCAAAAATAGCAGGTTTGAGATAGCTGCCTCGGGGGCCAAGGGAACTGGGCATAACTGCCACCCTTTCCGTGCACGACGTTTGGTGAACACTTCGAAACTGGTGTCGTTCTCGACGAAATCGAATGAATAGTTCCGGGGGCAGCATGCTTTGGTACCTCTCTAGAGCATCAAGACCAATGGCCATCC